AAGAATTTGCTAATAAATTTTTTTTTAAAATTAATTTTATATTATTAAAATATTGATATATATATTTTTTTTATTAATCAATTATTAATATAAGGTATTTTAATAAGGGAGATCATCTATTTTTTGAGTAGTTTTAGTAAAGTAATCGGGCTTAATAAAAAAATTCACTGTATCACGAATAAATTCGCTATAACAACGAATTTGGTAACTCAAACTATAGGACCAGTCAAGATGCAGTTATACAAATTATAATTTTTTTTAGACAGCTGGCAAAATAACGATAAAAGTCGAATCATTTTGCAAGTCCTATCGTCATAGGATACTGAACAATACCTTTATTGGAAGCTTTTGACTCTATATTTTAAGTAATTAACGAATCATGTATCTTAAATTATTAATGCCAAAAATAATCTCGTAAAGAATGTGTCAATTATAATATGACCATTTTAATTATACCTGTCTTAACTGTTAAGATGTTTAATTCTAGCAAATTCTTTAAATACAATAACAATTTACAAATAGTCAAGCTCATATTATAATTTTATTACGCAAAAATAAAATAAAGATCTATTTTTATTGAAATATGCGCATACTTAATACAAAGACTCTATATATCATCTTATTCTAATATACAGATTTTCAAATCTCACAAAGATAATAGACAAATTAATAAATCAAGTTTTAAGATTTATCAAGTCGCATGCCCGTAAAATCATTCACATTCACCCTTCTGGTTTTAACTTTCGTATTGGACATACATGCTAATCGTCTAACTCCATCACCTCCTACATTATCTTCTTTAGCATTCACATTAAAATCTTCAGGTTCACTTGCTTGTGAATTTAGACCCGTAAAAAAAGAGATAACACTATCCAATTCTTCCTTGAATCTATTCAACCCGTCATTGAAATTAACTTTATCATCAACTACAATAATTGATGCTGAATTTGGAGAATTGTCTAAAGACATTGCGTGATTATTATTTGTTGTTTCATTTACGCGATTCACGTCAATTTTTGTCATACCGATACCAGTCTTTTGTAACGTGATGCTCATACTAACATTCCGAGTAATTACATTACCTTGAGTAATGTTATTAATGTCATTGATAAAAACAATATTTGGAGCTGGAATAATATCAGTGGTAAAATTATTATGGCCGAAATGATACAATCCAAATATTGTCAAAGCCACAAGGAATAATTTGATGAACTTTCTTTGACGTCGGTTTTGATGAGAATTCTTTAGGAAAAAAATCGTTGACGCGAAAAATCCAAATAAAGGCACATAAGTAATTGTTAATCGAAATCGAAAGAATAGCATATTTCTTTTATCAACGTTTTTTTCAGATATTTCTTTAATCTTTGGA